GGGAGGTATTACGCACAAATGAGAGGGCTGGCAATGGAACAACGACTGGCTCCAAGCCTTGCCATTGCATTCATGTCTAAGGTGGAAGCGCCAGTAATCGACCTCGGTCCGTTACTCTACTGTAGATATATAGATGACTGCTTGGTCATTTGTTCAACGCAAGAAGAAATCGACAGATGTTTCGAGTTGTTGAACGAACAGTCAAAGTATATAAAATTCACCCGAGAGAAACCAAAAGAAGACTGGCTTCCATTTCTGAACGTGCAAATTAGCCTATCAGAAAACGGCTACATTACGAAGTGGTATCGAAAGCCAAGTAGTAAAAACATCTTGCTTGCTCGAAAACTTGTCGCAAAGTTTGTGTATGGCAAGAATAAAAATGTGACCTTCCAATTTTGAAGGTGCGACATTTTATTTTCATTATGTGAAGTTTTTCGAGTCTATTATACTCTCTGTTATTGAAGAACGGAATTTGTCAACAAACGAAAGATCTCAACTCTTTTATTTACTGCCTTTTTCTTCTTAATGGCAGGGTATATTGTGAAATATAACTCGTATGAAGTGCAGAGATATTTGCAAAACTCCGAACCACAGGTGTATGCAGTGGGGAACGAACACGCGCTGTTGTCCTTCCGGGGGAGCAGCGCACTTCACCACTACACCATCCGAAACGAAAGATGTTGGACAAAATAGAAGGATAAAGTTCTCGTGTGATCAATCCCTAAGGGAAGCGCCATGCATTCGACTTCATTAAGCATCGTTTGGAGGTGTTTGAATGCACATCTGGCCTTTAAAATGAATCGCGGTGGTCTACTGATGTACCGAACCAGTGCTTCTATCCTCCCAGACAAGTCTGGTACCGTTTGCGACCCCGGTGGGATAGAAGGCTTGGCGGGCCACGCGCGCGATGATCGATCCCATGTGTGTGTTGCATGGCGCCTCCGAGCGCTGCGCCACACGCGCCCATGTTTAAACTGTAATGTTCTGATGTCGAAAAATGATATAAAAAGTGGAAAAAACGAAAGATACTGTCTTTCTTTGATGAGCTTACACGAGGTTGATAATGATGTTTATTTTCGGCTAACGTTTCGACGTCTTCGTCTTCCTCAGAGCCGATGAACCGAGTCGATGGTCCATGCTTGTTATTCGTCTCGACGTGGCAGCTTTGCCTTCCTGTCGAGTCAGGTCTTCCTCAGTGAGCCATCTCCTCGAATGAGGCATCCCTACTCAGTGATGCCCTTTTATACACGATGCTGATGGTGGATATAATGATAACGTCCGGTGATAACAACTTGTTTTTTTTCCGGACATAATCATCGCGCACATCGTGCAGAAGTCGGTGTTGTTATCAGCTAGCACAAAGCGTAGTAACATTTGGAAACCGACTTTCCTTGAACCTCGGTATCACAATGTATCAGAAATATCGATGTTCTTTTTTCCTTTTGGCTTAACCTCGTTCGATCGCTATTGCATTTCTCGTCCGATGTACGACGATGATACTTGCATGCCAAAGGACTTGCTGTGTATTGAATGAAAGGCTATCTGACTTTCAAAGAGTTTCTGGAACGAACCTTCTGTGGAAGAATCGAAAAAAGCAGGGTAGAAAGTAAACACACGACTTTTTTATTTGAGACGCCTAAACTGCATTGGACTCACGGCAGAATATATTTACAGAATGAAACTTGCTTATGGGCAATCACACCTATATATGCTATAAAAATTTTGATCGGGGTCTTCCTAAGCGTAGCTCAACGAGCAAACTCTTCGATCCTGCCAACCTATTTGCATTATGGCACATTTTCGAAAAAGTTTGTTAAGCGAAAGCATTTACGAGTCCTGTTTGACCCTCGCCTAGAAATCTGCAATCCAATCAGTCGGTTTTCATTGACTGCATAAGCTCAATCACCTTAACAGGGAACTGCCTCTACGGTTGACCAGGCGAATATTTCTCCGAGATGAAACTGGTGAGCCGATTAAAGCAAAGACTTAACACGTGATGATTGAATTAAGAGGCACGAATCAATCTCTGAGTCGTTGCTAGCGTGGATCACACAAGCGATGAAACAAAAACGCTCGTCTTGGTATTCATTCTGTGTGGACGGAAGACGTGCCACTACCAAGTCAACTTCAGGTGTGTCGTTGTTGTTCAGTGAGCAGGATCGTTTAAATGGTGAACACGACACGTGGAAGAAGAACGCAAGCTCCGTCAGGTTCACAAGCATCACAAAAATGACTTTAAAGAAGTTCCACCTGTAGTCTACTTTCTCCCTAATCTTAAACGGCATCCTATATGAAGTGTGCAATTTATGGATAATTAAAACTTTTTGACTTCCTGCCTAATACTATTTTTCAAGCCAGGGTACTGTGTGTGATACGACCAGTGCTGAAATATTTGCAAAACTTCGAACCGCAAATGTTTGCGGTAGGCAACGAACGCGCTTTTATCCTTTACGGAGACTAATGCGCTTACCACCACAACGTGCTTGTCCTTCGCTTTGCCTGTCTCTCAGCTAGTTTTCTATAAAGAAAGTGTGTATTGTGCAACGAACCGCAGCAATAAATGTCGGACAATACTGCATGTGAGTACTGAATAGAGCTATGTATCTGGGAAGTGGATATTCCAGCACAAGCTCCTCCGAAGAATCTCCGTCAGAACTGTTAATTCCGTGATGTCGCTTCATCCAAACGCTCTAGGTAGGACAAATTGCGCCACCGGCATATTAAATTATCGAAAAAAAGCCAAAACTTGCTTTCTGTGATGAATTCTTCTGCTTTTCTGCTTACCTTTTCTGCTATTTGTATGTAAATGTGGGCTCGCATTAGTGAGAACGATTGGCTCGACATGCTATCTGAAGCACACATTGGGAAGAAGCAGTGTAAAAATCGACTGTTGAGCTCCCGAAACAAATCAAACATACTAAGCTCTCCATTTGACATAATTGAAAAACTGTAGGGATAAATAGTTTCACCACTAGCTGCAATAGAACTGGAGTTTTTCTCTACCATAAAGATGTTTTATCAATGTACACAGAGGATTACCTTCATCGGTACTGTTTGTGTTGCGCGTACCCTTAAAAACGAATGTATTGTTGTATATAAGTCTACGCGGCAAATATTCAGGGTCGGCCCAATGATGCATGAAAGAAATGATGAACCTAAATGGAAAATGTTTGTGACATTTTCATGATTGATTGCTGCTGAACCATTTCATAGAAAGGAGTCACAGATACAGCTACACTGATGTTGAGATATTTGCAAAACTCTGACCTAAGGCCAGATTCGAACGGGCGATTGAACCTGAAAAACTCGTTAGTCCTAAACATAAAACGACAACAGCAACCCGAAATGGCGCCAAAACGTAGGCCGCAAGGCTGCACAGGCTGGAGATGTGACTGCTCATGACGAAGAAGGTCATGAGCACTCATCACCATTGGCCGACAAGCGTCTAATGCTGATAGGCGAAGCTGGAACTACGGAAATCAATAGAACGAATCATTGATTTTTTAGGTGATTATGTCCTTAGAAGGCAAAAGTGAATTAGGCTTTTGAAAGGCTAGTTGAACGGTTGCATAAAAGTGGAAAAATTATGGTTGGTCGACATTGTGGCTCTATTTCACATAATATCCTTCCATAAAAATGTTAGGTAGTAAATAAAAGTTATATATTGTGATTTCGACTGCTGGCTCAGCATAACGAGCTTCGATGCCGATTTGTACTCTTCAGATCACTCTCATCGATGGGTGGTTGCCGATGGCATAGTTCGGGTAAAAAGTGGACAAGAGAAAGGAAAGCAGTGACCTCAGTGACGCAGTGGACAACACGTAACCCCTCTATAACGGCAATCGCAGGTTCGAATCCGGTTTGGGGTCGGAGTTTGCCGTATATCTCAGCATCGGTACGGCTGTATTTCACATAACGGCTTTCTATGAAAATTAATGGGCAGTAAATAAAAAGTTGCCCAAGGCCACTGGACCACTGACACTTTACAGCATTCAATGATGCTGAGATATTTGCAAAACTCTGGACCGCAGGTGTCTGCGGTGGGGAGCGAACGCGCTATTGTCCTTTCCGGGGAGTAACGCGTTCACCACCACACCATGCTGTTCCTGCTGCCCGGAATTTTGGAACTATCTCAGCATCATTGAAGTTATATTTCGCAATATACCCTGCCATTAAGAAGAGTAGGCGGTAAATAATAAGTTAAAATTTTACAACATTGTTCCAAGTTCGTGAAAGTTAATAATAAAAATCGCTCGAGACGTGTTAATAGTACTCTAACACGCATGGCTCGCTCTAATGCATCTGAAGAGCCTCATTCACTCATCTACGGGTTCATTCTTTCGGATAATCGTCAATGGATATCGTTGTACGAGTTGCATGCTACAATTCAATGTGGCTTAATGCCGTCAATAGAAGAATCGCAGGTACTAGGTTGATACGCATATGTCCGATTTCATTATTTTACATTTCCGTGTAAGTTTTTTAAATCAAAATTTTGTCCTTTATGTGTGTTTAATATGTATTTCGAAGCACGAAGTCTCCTCTTTCTATGTCTACTACCGTGTTTTCATGATCCATTATTTTAACATTTCTATAGGTTTTAACTTAAGCATATATTAACGGAACTCCCTCATATGAGATCTCGAGCCGGTTAGTCGCGAGGCTACGTGGCGCGTCTCGAGGTGGCGGCCAAAAGCGACCTTCGCTTCCCTGAGACACAGGTGGATCCAGGGGATGGACAAGGGAGGCGTTTAGGCGTCGCTTCGAACAAATAAGCTCCATGTCCACTCTGGCAGACCCTGGCAAGCTACCCGTCAGTATACCCAGCCCTCACGTTCAGAGCCCCGCATGCTATACGTGGGTATGAAAATGCTAAACACAGTTTCCTCCTTCCCCTGACTCCGAAAGAGCCCCCAATTTCGCAACATTGGCTAGGACGAGTGTGGAGAGGCTGCTAAAATTTCAGGTTTTAATGGAAGCTGCCTGGATTTCAAGGAACTATGGTGACGATCTGTACCTACAATGCACGCACACTTGCATCCGAGTTCTCGATAGAAGACTTGTTCATGCAAGCAAGAAGGATAAGGTACGACGTCCTCTGCCTAGCCGAGACGAGAAGATGCCAGCCTTTCAATGCCGTCTATGACACCGGAAAAGATCTGCTCCTCGGAACATGCGACAGTAGAGGAGTCGGCGGCGTCGGCGTTCTCGTCAACACGAGTTTGCCCATGAACATCGATTCATTCGAGCAACTTACAACCCGAATCGGACGTTCACGATTAAGAAGACGTGGTTCAATTCCGGCTTTGACAATCTTCGTCGTTTACGCGCCGATATCAAACTACGACGAAGAAGAAGTCGAAGCGTTTTATATGGACTTGAAGAAGTTCAACAGAGAAGAACACACATTCTTCAAGGTCATCACTGGAGATTTTAACGCCAAGATTAGGCCAAGAAGAACGTCTGAAGGACGTTGCATTGAGACCAACGGATTAGAATGGAACGAACAGGGTGAGCGGCTATCTGAGTTTATCATGGCGACCAAGACAATCCATGGTAACTCGCAATTCCAGAAGCCCCACTCTCAACGCTGGACATAGGAGTCTTAAAATGGAGAGTACCATAACGAAATAGACCACATCGTAGTAAATAGAAGGTTTAAGATTCCATTTCTCGCGGAAAGGAGAAAAAGAAGCTAAATTCAAAAACGGAAGCCCCCAGAACCACCGTAATCTGGGACTTATTCAATTCATTAGTCGGCTGTTGGGAAGATGACGTTGTCGATAATATCGACGAAGAACACGATCGGTTCATTCAACATCTTCACGTTAGCGCTATGAAAGCTGGGAGTTCGAAAGTCACCAAGAGACGTCTGTCTCCAGAAACAACACTCGAGCTGATACGGCCAGCGTGGAATCGCACGAGCTGCAGGCAACCGCGGACTAACGCCCGAACTTGCAAAACAATGCAGACAGGCGATAAAAGAGGATCTTAAAGAGAGACGAGCAGCAGCAATGGTCGAAACTGCGGAGGCAGGGAAAAGCATTCGCAAAGCCTACCGAAGCTTCGCCAATTACGAGACCAAGAGGATTGAACTCCGAAGCCTAGACGGAACAGCTACAGCGTCCAGAAAGGCAATGGAGAAAATCATTCAGGAATACTACTCGGTTCTCTTCGATAGCCACGTCTACCTTCCGTCATATGAAATAAAGAAGGATGGATATGTTGTACCACCTGTTCTCTCTTCCGAAATCCGACATGCCATTTCGTCGGTGGAAAATCGAACAGCACCAGGTACGGACAGGATAGGACCAGAACACCTGAAGGACCTTCCGCCAGTCCTCGTAAACACACTGGCTCGGCTCTTCACACGTTACCTGTCTGAAAGCAAGGTCCCTACACTCAGTAGAAGGCCAGCAGGACCGTGTTATTGTTCAAGAAGGGTAACCTGCACGATACCGTTAACTATCGCCCGATCTCCTTGCTGTCTGTCCTCTACCAACCTTTCACTCGAGTCCTCCTAAGCAAGATTGACAGAACACTGAACGAAGGGCTGCCGTATGTGCAAGCAGTGTTTCGAAAAGGATTAAAAGGATGGACTACATCCACACGATAACAAGACTCATTGAAGTGTCGCGAGAGTACAAAAGTCCGCTCTGTTTCACTTTCATCGATTTAAAGACCTTTGATTCAATTGAAATATAAGCAGTCATGGAAGCCCTTGATAGTCAAGGAGTCCCTACTCAGTACATAAAGATTTTCGTGAGGTGTACAAAAATTTCACATACCACCAATCTACAACGATATTAACATTGACGTCAAAAGAGGGGTTAGGCAATGCGATACCATCTTCTCAGAATTATTTGCCGCCATGCTCGAAAACGCCATGCGAAACTTGGGTTGGGACAACATGGGAGTCAAAATCGCCAGTCGGCAGTTACACCATCTTCGATTTGCTGATGACATCGTCCTTATAACACCAAACATTGGCCAAGCGGAATGCATGCTTGCCGACTTTGATAAAGCCTGCGGAAAGATTGGTCTTCGGCTAAATCTCACAAAAACGATGTTCACGAAGAAAGGATTCGTTTCGCATACCCCATTCACGCTCAACGGAACGAGTCTTTTCGAATGCTCCAGTTATATCTATCTAGGTCGGAAAATCAATGTGATGAACGACCTAGCTCCAGAGCTGAGCAGAAGAAAACGAGCGGCTTGAGGAGCTTTCAAGAGCATTGAGGATGTAGTGAAGAGAACAAAGAACAACCGAGTCCGTGCTCACCTTTTCGACTCAGCGGTAGCTCCTGCCTTACGCTTGCGTCAGAAACCTGGTTGCTGCGTAAGCAGAATGAAAGCTCACTCAGCGCTATCGAGCGCGCAGTCGAAAGGACGATTCTAGGAGTATCCCGTTCCACACAAGTAACGGATGGTATCCGAAGCTCCGATCTGCGTCAACGATCAAAAATCAGAGATGCCGTTCTGTACGCCAAACAGTCGAAGATGAAGTGGGTCAGACCAGTAAGGCGTATGAACGACAGCCGTTGGACATGGACAATGGACAAGAGCCGTTAGTGACTGGATTCTTCGGGATGTCAAACGTACTGCAGGAAGACCACCGACCCGATGGTCAGAGTTCTTCACGAAAGGCCTGGAAGAAAGAAAGATATAGTGAACAATGAGTCCTTAGAGCGAGCAGAACCCATTGGGCTACTCCTGTACACGACAGGGAAAAATGGAAGATTTACTGGAGCTCGCTCGAGTCACTCGACGATAAAGGAGACTCTAGGTGATACAGGTGATGAATCAACGTGGTATTCGTGTCTTTTTCTTGTACGAGTGGAAGAGTGCACAAAATGCCGCTGCAGGAGCTCGGAATATCATCAGCGAGATCGGGTACCGCTTGGAGTCCTTTCTTTTTCTTTGCGAACTCATGAAAGTAAACGAACTTATAAGCACAATCAGCACTTCGAAGTGACGCACAAATGCGCTCACTCCGGATCCCATGACTAGTTTTCATTTTATGAAATTCAATTCAAATGCCAATTAATAAGCAACTTCTGGTTACAGTAGCCACCCACTTACTTACTGAAACAATCGACTTAAACGATTTTTCGAGCATTCTATGTTTTCATTTAAAGACTAGAAATGGGTGTGCGGCGAAGATGTGTTGGTGAAGCGCTTCAAATGCTCTTCAGTGACCAAAAAAGTCTCCTACATAGGAAGAAAAAATTTCTGTGGATGTCGACGATAATATTGCCATTTTTCTTTGGCGAAAGCATAGAGATCTTACAACATCAATGTGGGAACTATGAAGAGTCGACTAAATCTGCAAAAACGGTAAAAATAGCCAGACTCTAAATCAGAAATTTCTGGCCGTTGGCAAGCAAAGGACCGATCATTACAGTTGATCGAAGCTTGAGAAGAATGGGAACGCGGCTGCGGAATGAATGATACGTCAACAGGACACTTAGATATTCAACTAAAGTCAGAGTACGCTCAAAGTGGAAACTCGAAATCGATTTTACAGTTGTTTTACCAAAAAGTACACATTTCACATTTTAGAACGAGTGTTCGTTTTGCTGTCACATACTGAAGAGATTTTCAAAGCGTCGAAGCCTGTAAAAAACATTCCAAGACGGAAACTATTCACTGCTGCTGTACCCTGTATTACCTGCCACTTAAGGCTATCTAGACTACATTTCACCTTAAGGTGACAACTAAGTTCACTGCTCTTGCATTTTATGGCACTACATCATAGATGGCGGTAAAATTTAATTGCTCTAGTTGGAAAGATTTGAAGAACGAACCACAAGCTGTGCGCAGAGAATGAGAGCTACTTTTGAATTCTGGAGAATTTTCTGCAATTATAACTCAAATGAATTCTGTATTATATTCGAAAACAACGGCGATATCGCAATAATATGACAGTAACGTTAGCTCGCTCGTCGCGCAGTTATCGGAGGCGCCCTGCAACATACAAGTGGAATCGGTCTTTGCGCCGTGGCCCACCAAGCGTTCCGTGCCCCTGTGGTCGACAATTTAGCGCCAGACTTGTCTGGGAGGATAGTAGCACTGGCTCGACATATCGGTAGGCCGCCGCGAGTCATTAAAGGCCAGATATGCTTCCAATCACCTCCAAACGATGTTTAATGAAGTCGAATGTGTGGCGCATCCCTCAGGGATTGATCAACGCCGAGAGCTTTACCCTTCATTCTTAACGTTAACACTCGTCGCTAAAGCATGCAAAAAGATAAGGTTGCAAAAATTTAGACAAAGTCATTGCACTAGTGCTACAAATTCTATAGGAAGGACCTCTTCCCTCGGACTAGTACATTACGTTTCTCAAACTAAAGGGATTTACAAGCCGAAGCAAGATGAACAACAGTAAAGTACCTTTACTTTTCCATGCACAAGCACAATAACCGACCATCGTGCGCCTACCTCTAACACAGACTTGAAAATCTGTCCTTGTTGGTTCACAAATGTCTATCTACAATTTATCGAACTTACGTGTGATCGACTTCGTCGCAAAGGAGTGCATTGAAACTGATGCGGAATATGCTGTCACGAAAATCGTAAACTCTGTGGACGTGCGAAGGCATAACGCGATCGTTTTCATCTATTTCATTTGCCGGAAGAAACCTGCAAAAGTTCACGAACTCTTTTTCCTCATTAATATTATTCGTCATGACACCTAGTCTTGCGTGGTTCGCGCGCTATTATCGAAATCAACTCGTACCGGCCGCAATATCCTTACGAAACATACACCTACCGCTTAGTTATCGTTTTCCTTCTACGACGTGATTTTTATGTCATTTAAAATTAATTTTGGTATTTGCTATATTCCACTATCGCCTATGTTCTTTCAGTTACTTTCTTATGTTTTCGAGTCATCCCTAACTTTTGTTCATGAAGAGAATAAAATTTAAAGTCGCGTCCACTATCCCACTGGAAGTAGAATCATGTTCGGTTACGCATCTAAAATTGCACTTTACAAGGTTACAATGATAGACGAGGGTTATTTGAGCAGTTCATCACTTGATACACCTAGAGAGCTGAATTTGTTCTATCGTTCTATTTCCTTGTACATGTATTCATGCTTATCTAGTATGTGTACTTACTTGATACTTAAACGGCCCGTCATCACTAGCTGTGCGGGCCCCAGCATAATTACCACTTTTCGTAGATTTGCTGGTTAAGCCATTGTTATTCCCTAGAATCCCGAGGACAGCCTGGCCAAAGTCTGCCCCAGGTCGTCACCACAACATGCAGTCGCAGCCCTTGTGAATCAAAGAGAGATTTACCACTATGCTACTTTGATATCAAGACGGTAGTGGATCCTAGTATTGGTTTACTCTTAGCTAGGCTTTCTGATGGAAACGCCGCACTCCTCAACTTGGGAGACCCTGTCGAGGGGGCGAATCCCGCTGTACATCGCAGTCCGATACCCAGGAACACCTCCCAGCCACGATGAGGTGGTAAACCGTTGGGAGGATCTAATATGTGTATATTTAACAAATATATGTGTCCACAAATATATATCTTCTCATTTCATAGGCTAACGTATCAATGACTTAGCATCTTATCCTCGCTAAGGGGT